TATATATGCAAGTTAATTCCATCGATGCCTACCTTCGCTTCTTGGCTGATCTGGTACGAAGCTCCTCTAGTTGGTCAGATTCAGTGACACCTGACACTGATCTATGAGCACTTGATAAAAGAGGCACAGAAATATCTGGTGACTTGCTCTCCTGTGTGATGGAGTCATCACTGAAAAAATCTATAGGAAGGGCAGTGGCCAGCTTCTGAGGAATCACAAACCCTAGGCTGTTGTAAAGACTTCCAAGTGTCTTTGGCATGGACTCAATATACCTATGAAATAGAATGGTTAAATATGGAACTGTCAGTCACCATTTCCCCCTTGAGCCTCTCCCTCACCAAGCACGAGAAAAAGTCCTTACAATTTCATAATTCTAAGACAATATCATACGTAGCTCTTGGTAGAATAATTTTAAAGTTAGAAGCCATCAAACTTACAATCCCAAAATTTCCTCCAGAAATTTTGCTAGGTAAGCTGAATCCTCAGTTAAACACACCATGCGCAGCAGTTCTGTCACCTGAAGGAGATCACAGAGAATTACCACGTGCCCTCTGTAGGGAAACTAACAGCATTTATGGCACATTCCCAATGCACTAAGTTATAGACTTGCCTCCTCCACTACTTGTTCTGTATCATCTATACTCTCTTGTATTAAAGGGCACTGCAGACACATCTCCAAACGAAAAAATATCTGAAGCTGGCACCTTTAGAAAAAAGAAATACTTGGTCATATCTATGCTGAGTGCCACCTAACCCATTCACTGAAAGCTCCCTTCTTAAGCACAGATTTATTTATATAAGAAATAACAACCAAAAAGAGAAGTCATTGTCTTTTTAAAATTATTGATATGGTTATTAAGTGACTCAAACTGCACATTAAAACATCATAATGAATCAGTACAAAAACATCTTCATTGGCAATCTAAATTGATACAAGCAAACACTGGAACTTTGTTTTGTAGGAATGGTTAAAAAAAACAAAACAGTAGTTACTTACTCTCTGACTTTGGTTTCCTTATCCAATTTTTTTCCTAGATTCTGTCGAAGACTTTTACTAGTTTTTAAGAGGTTATCTTTTACCTGCTTCAAGCAGTTCATCTAAAAATAAAAAAATTATTACATTGGAGGATATTCAATTACTACCATTATTTTTAATAATGGTACAATGGCACAATGGTTAAGTGCTTGGCTACTAACCAAAGGATTGGCAGTTCTAATCTATGCAGATGCTCTGTAGGAGAAAGACCTGGTGATCTGCTGGCCAAGAAAACCCTATAAAGTAGTTCTACTCTGTCACACGGAATCACTATGAACTCGATGACACCAAAGATTAACAGTGTTACTTTTAATTTTTTTCAAGGGGGGAGAGGAAGATGGCATCATACTGATAACCCTGCATGTCTGATCCCTCTTCCAACTTAGTCCCTGAGCAATGAGGTAAAGCAGATAAAATGATACTGGAGTTATGAGCAACTTAGTGAAGGCAAAGAAAAAGAGCACATTAAACTTTTAATTTCTTTCACAGCTAATACCCTCTCAAAGTAGGGAAGCACATTCCCTTACAGATTTTCCCCTTCTTCCATTTGATCAAAAAATAATGAAATCTTCTTTTGTATCTGAAAAGAATGTGGTAAATAAGTACTTGAGAACGAATGGCCATAGATAAAGCAAGTCAGCAGATTTGAGCTCTATTAAAAGGAAGGTTCCACAGTTTGTGATTAAGAAGGATAAGCATTACTATTCATTACAGACAAGTCCAGTTTTGACCATAATAAAGTAACAATAACGTGGTCTAAAACAGTGGCTCACGATACTCTCTGTGCATAAGGATCATCTAAGCTTTTCAAAAGTACAGATGCCTACGTCTCAGTCTCCAGAAATCTATTTCTGTCTGGCAGGAGGCTAGTTATCAGCATTAAAATAAATAAATAAATAAAAGTTCTATTGTTGTTGTTATGTGCCATCGAGTTGGACCTGACTCATAGAGACTCCTCCTTGGGTTTCCAAGGCAGTATCACTACAGAAGTAGATGGCCCCATCTTCCTTCCAAGGAGTGGCTGGTGGGTTTGAACCACCAGCCTTCTGGTTAGCAGTCAAGTGCGTTAGGCACTATAAGTGATTCTAAAATATAGCCAGAGTTAAAACCACTGTTTTAATCCATGCAGCTAACATGTGGCTTGGACAAGGACAGAGTTCTCATTAGAAGGGAAGTAGATGTAATTATCCCCCACCTCTCATCTTCTTTCCTTGATTTCTGCTTCACCAGTTCACTATGTCCTACTTTTGAGATCTAGAAGTGTGCTTATCACCTTCTCATCTTACTATTTTTGAATGGTATACTTCATAATAGATATTTTCCAAGATATATAAACCAAACTTACCAACAACTCTACCACCTATCACATCTATAACAAGCAACATCTCAATTCTCTTACCTCCAATTCCTTGGTGCCTTTGGATTTTAGGAATGCTTTAAATGTTGAGATCATGTTCTGAGCACATGAATACAACGGGATTTCTCCAGTGGCCACAGTCTTTTGATAAATTTCATGTATATAAGATAGCAGCTCCTCCTTGGTTTTAAAATCTATGGGAAAAAAGTCAAATTATCAAATCTAGCTTACGTGTTATATTGTTAAAGCCAGTAGTTGTCAACTGGGGAGATTCTGCTTCTCAGGGAACTTTCAGCAATGTCTGCATTATCATGACTGGTGAGGTGGGAACATCTAGTGGGTCGAGGCCAAGGAGGACTAAACATCCTACAGGAAGACCCCCCACCACAAAGAATTATTCATTTCAAAATATCAACAGTGCCTAAGTTGAGAAACCCTGGTTGCAGATATCGGTGATTAATTTTATGACTTTGAAAATCAAGTATACATGTTAAAAATTTAAAGGTAACCACTAATGGAAAACTTGATTAATCCCATAGAACATTGGAAAAGGAAAAAAGCATGCTAAATAGAAAGTACAAAATAAGATGCTATAAATACACCAAATTTATCAGTAAACATAATAACTGTAAACAGTCTAAACTTGCTGGTTAAAAGACAGGAACTCAAATTAGATTTTAAAATAAATAAATAATAAATTTATGCTGTTTATAAGATATATCCAAAACATAATGGCAAAGAAATACTTAAAATATAAACCATTGGGAACTTCTATGAACTTAACAAGAAAGCCTCAAAATATATGATGCAAACATTGGTAGAACTGCACATCCACATCATGGAATACTATAACGCTATTTTCTCAGTTATAGATAAAAGAAGCAAAAAATTTATAAGCATGTTCAAAATTCAAACAGTAAGAAGTTGAATATAATGGACATGTATAGAACCAGGTACCTAACAATTAGGGAACATACATTAGCTCTCATGAAGCATGTAAACAACTTATCCTCATAATTTTAAGTAAATCAAAGTCAACAAATATAAACAATTAGAGAATATACCTTATTTTCAAGAACAAGTAGAACAGTAACAAAATTTGACCATGTATTAAGCCATAAAGTTTAAGCAACTATCATCAGTATCAGTATCATATATACCACACTCTCTGAGGACAGTACAACAATATTAAAAACTAATTACAAAAATAAAACATTCCTTTTCATTCGGGATGAAGAACCCCTGGTGGTACAGTGGTTAAGTGCTTCACTGCTAACTGAAAGGTCAGCTATTTGAATCCACTAGACGCTCTGCAGTGGAAACATAGGGCAGTCTACTTCTGTAAAGATTCCAAAACAAAACCAAACGCACTGCCGTGGAGTTGGATCCAACTCACAGTGACCCCCCCTTGGATTTCCGAGGCAGTATCACTACAGAAGATTTCCCAACCTTCCTTCTGAGGAATGGCTGGTGGGTGTGAACAGCCAGCCTTCTGGTTAACAGTCAAATGCCATCGGCACTACGCTACCAGAGCTCCTTCTATAAAGATTACAGCCTTAGAAACCCTATGAGGCAGTTCTATTCTGTCCTGTAGGGTTGCTATTAGCCAGAATAGACTTGATAGCAATGGATTCAGTTTGGGGTATGTTATATACATCAAAAAATATTTAGAACTAAGTATCAATGAAAAACAGAAAATAGCAAACTTGTATAATGCAGTTAAATTCAGGGGGAAATTCATAGACTTAAATGATAATTTCGGCAAAGAAGAAAAACAAAAAATCTAATTAGCCAAAAGTCCAACATAAGAAGTATAACAAAAAAGTCAATCCAAAAACTAAAGAAGGTAGGGAATAATAAAATTAAGGACCAAAATGAATCAAACAGAAAACAGAAACAATAGAAATCAATAGAAACAAAAGATGTTTCTTTGAAAAGTCAAATGAAACACAGAAATCAATAGCCAGACTGAGCAATTTTTTCTAAACAAGGACCCGGATGTTCCGGCACCATTTGTTGTAAAGACAATTCCCACTGCATGACTGTGGCATCTTCGTCAAAAATCAATATGCCACTGGTTCAGGTGTATTTCTGGACAGAATGGAATCAGAAATTATGTTAATACCACATTGTCCTGAGTACTGTGATATTTTTGTTCTTGCTTGCATATGCCATCTATATTTTCACACATCTACTAGTGCATCAAAGAAAGATGTCTTGTCTCGCTCAAACTGATTAGCATCTACAGATCTAGGATGTCCATCTTCTGTGGAAAAAGAAAATCTTTAAAGGAGCACAAAACTTTCACTCTGGAATTTCCAAAAGAACTCATAGGTAACATCTTGCAATTATTGCCTGAAGTTCATAACCTATCCTCACAATCATCCTAGAGGGCTGGTACTGGCACTGTGAGTTAAGAATGTACCCTGGGAATATGACACATTCTATTGAAAAAAAGAAAAAAAGGAAAGGAAAAAGAGCAAATAGGAAAATAAAAGCTACCGGACTAAATCCATCTGTTCAACTTGGAAAGACCTCGATAACCCAGCCTTAGCTTACTCATGAACATTTTCCCTCTCTCTTTATTCCCAAATGGCAAACTTCTTTAACTATTTCTTCTATGGCCAAGCCATGCTCTTCACTGTGATGTTGCTCATGCTAATTCCCCACCTGGAACATTCTTCTTTTACCCTCTGACGATCTAAACTTTGCTCACTCTTCAAAATCTAGCAAGGGCTTCACTGGTTCCTTTGAAGCCTTCTCAGCCTGTTTCAGCCCAAAATGACTTTTTCCTTTTCTCCTCAAATGAGTACGTATTTTGTATCAGACTCTTGGCTCTCCTCTCATCTTTGTGGCAGGATCGTCAATCTATGAATAAGACAAAATTTTTTTATTTACTGTAGTCCTTATAACATACTTAATAGAATGGAGGAATACCTTTAGGTTTAGAACTTCTTAATGTTCTTCCTTTGTCTTCCAATTTATCTGCTGTTCTTCCACTGGCTGTCTTTTGGATCCCTTTTTCCCCAGCTGCGTCTGGACTGCCATCCGGCTGTAACTTCTGAGCCTTTACATTGAGCCTTGCAACATTCAACATCTTTAAAGAACGGCACATGGTATTCATCTTCTGCCTGACTGGAGTACGTGGGACACCTCCTACCGAAACGGCATCATGGGAAGAAAGGTAAAACAACTTTCACTTCTATGAAATCAAGAATTACTTTAATTCAGATTACTGTGAAACAATACTGAAATGAAATATATCCCTTCATACTGATCTGACTTAGGTAGTTCTTGCATCTCTTTCTATCCACAACATCTTTAACTGAAGTTTAGGAATTAAACTCCTTAATGTAACCAGATTTTTTACATAAGGCAAATTCAAAACAGACTCATTTTGATGTTACTTAAAGAGCAGAGGATCGTAATGAAGTTTTTTTGAAAGACAATTTAGAAAAAAAAAACAAAGAGCATTTAGCAATCTGAGCCTAGAGTCAAACTGACTCTGTAACACAATAACTTGTTCCTGGAAACTTACATTAAGAAAATGACTCAAATAAAAAATTATATGACATATATTATATAATGAGAAATTATAAATAAAGTAAATATGCAACAACATGGGGGATTCTGTTAAGCAATGAAGTGAAATAATAAGTAAGAAGGCAGGTAGCAAATAAATATTTCTAAACAGAATACAAAGTTGTATTTAAATTTCTATTATAACTAAAAATGAAAATGGTTTATTTGTTAGGAAGGATAGTTGGTGATTTCTTACCAATAGTGTACCAATGTATTATTTTCTAATTTAAAATACGAGAATATGAGAATTTTTTTTTTCATTATTCAGTTAGCATTTCAAACTCATTTCAGGAAGTATATAGTGTCAAAATTTTAAAATGTGCAGTGTCAAAAACAGACTGCCTAAAGAAACAGCTTTTCTATGTGCATACTTTTTCTTCTGCTGTCTTCCTGACTAACTAATGCAGATTCTTCATGAGATTTTCTCTGGTAGAACTCGGAGAGGCAACGTGTTAATTCATTTTCAGTTTTGGAAGATTCTTCCTTATTAGCTGAAGCAGCCTGTAGTAACCTGTGAACAAATCAAGATGTATGAAGCCAAAATTCACATTTTCCAAATTGCTTTAAAAACAAACAAAACAATAATAAAATCCACTATCATTTTCAAAGCTAATCAAAAGATATACCCATGAGATATCTTCCAAAATATATTTTCTCAGGAGGGAAAATGGCCTTCTTATTTCTAATTTGAATAAACTCAGCAACAAAACCATTAATTATTACATACAATATAGAATTCTTCATGTACTAGGGTACATGTCTAAATACGGCAACTATTTTCACTTAAGGGCTTTCCAATTATTTTCTGTTTATATATGTTAAAAATCTAGAGTACAAGATGATGTAATATACTGTAATGTATATGGCAATGATTTCTGAAATGTGGTACACTAATTGGCAGTGTAGCAAGCTAATCTGGAATTCCTGAGAAGGGGAGGAAGTGGGACAGAGAGGATGACTGGTTATTAAGTGTTTTCCACCTAGAGCTAAATTATCAGTCACTAAGGAAATTATGAAATGGCACGATTTTAAAAATATATTATTTATATCTCAGTACTTCTCATTATCTGATATCATCTGATTTAAAAGTAGGAGAAAGTTACAGTGACATTAGCTGAAGGGATATTACAGGTCAGAATATATTTTAGGGATATGAGCTTCACCTACCAGCCACTCCTCAGAAGGAAGGTTGGGCAATCTACTTCGGTAGTGATACCACCTCGGAAACCCAAGGAGGGGTCGCTATGAGTCGGGTCCAACTTGACAGCACATAACAACAACATGAGCTTCACACATACAGCATGTCTGAAGCAGATTAATTCTAAATGTTCTGGCATTTCCTTCAGCCATGGGGAGGGTTTGCCTGGTGTTTTTTGTTTGTTTGCTTTGTTGATTTTTAAAGTTATGAACCTTTCAAAAAGAAAATTATAGACTACGATACTATGAAGACATGCATGCACTGCCCAAGATTAAATACCTGTTAACAGGTATTTTTGGAAGATCTGTATTAATTTAGATACTAATCCTTTGTTGGTGATGTGGACTGCAGCTATTTAAGTCTATGGCTTGTCTTTTTAACCATACAAAAATTTAAAATTTTATTACAGTCAAATCTATCGAACTTTTCCTTTTATCATTTTTATTTCTTGTCTTATTTGAGAAATATATCCCTAGCCTGATATTCTCCTATTTTCTCTTGTAACAATTTTAAACTTTTGCTTTTGACATTTTGTTTTTAAACTGTTAGGAATGTATTTCTGTGAATGCTGGGGTAGAAATCTTGTTTTTATCTCTTTTCACGTTATCTACATATGACCATTTGTTGAAAAGTCTGTTCTTTCCCTGCTGATTTATAATGCTACCTTCATCATATACCAAGCTACCATACTTTTGTGGGTCATTTTCTGGGCTTTCTATTCTGTTTCATTGGTCTATTTGTCCACCTTTCATCAACACCACACACTTTATTGACTATAGCTTAATGGTAAATCTTGATATCTGATAGGGGGAGGTGCACCTATCTGTCTTGTTCTCTGCCCTTGATTCTTATCCATCTTTTGCTACATTTATTCTTAGGCACCTTAATAATTGTTGCTGATAACATTAATACACGATATCCTTTTATATAATTGTTATTGGCATATAGGAATACTATTGACTTTATACACTAATTTTTTGTATCCATCAACATTGCTGAATTTTCTTAATCAGTTTAATCATGTATAGGATCTTTTGGATTTTCTATGAAAATAATCATATCATCTTCAAATACAAAATACTTCCATATTTATACCTCATTTATTTTTCTAGTCTTATTGCCTTAGGAGCTCTCTCTGGTGGTATAGTGCCTAAGGCATCTGACTGCTAACCAGAAGGCTGGTGGTTCAAACCCATCAGTTGTTCCTTGGAAGGAAGGTTGGGCAATCTACTTTCATAGTCATATCACCTCGGAAACCCAAGGAAGGGTCGCTATGAGTCAGGGCCGACTCGACGGCAGTGAGTTTGGGTTTTTTTTTTTTGTTTGTTTATTGCCTTAAATAGGATCTCTAATGTAAGGTTTTATAAAACCCATAATAATGGCATTCTTGGCTCAGTCCTAACATTTAAAGGGAATGTTTCTCAAGTTTCATTTTTAAAATTATAATGTTTGCTGTGGTGTTCTGATAAATACTTTTTATCAGGTTAATAAAGTTCTCTTTTCTTTGCAGATCATCATAAACAACTGGAAAATGAAATTTAAAAATAACATTTATTTCTAGGCTGCAATCTTTATAGGAGCAGATCACCAGTAGCTGCTGGTGGGTTTTAACCACTGACCTTATAGTTAACAGCTAAGCACTTAGCCAATGTGCCACTAAGGCTCCTTAACATTTAAACAGCATTCAAAAACACAAAATACTTACAGATAATTTAAAAAATAGTATGTGCCAGACTTACACAATGAAACCTACAAAACAGAGCAAAATTAAAGAAAACCTAAATAAAAGGAGAGATACACCATGTTCATGGACCAGAAGACTCAATATTGTTAAGATGTCAGTTCTTCCCAAATTATCTGTAGATTGAACACAATCCCTGTCAAAATCTCAGCAGGCTTTTCTGTGAAACTAACAAGTTAATTCTAAAATTTATATGGCAATATAAAGGATCTAGAATAGTCAAACTAATTCTGGGAAAAAAGAAGAAGAAGAAGAAAGTTGAGAGGGTTTATACCTGATTTCAAGACTTACTATAAAGCTACAGTGCTTAAGACAATATGATAATAGGATAATTCAGTTCTGAAGACAATGTGCTATTAGCATAATTTCTAGACTTTATTTGTCCAAAATAGATCTGCATAATGGTAGTCAAATGATTTTCAACAAAAATGTTATAATAATGCAATGGGAAAAAGGACTGTCTTTTAACAAGTAGTACTAGAGCAACTAGGTATCTATGTGGTAAAAAAATAAACCTCCACCTTACCACTTAACAATATTTTTAATTTATGCTATATCTTTTTCAGTTCTAATATTTATTTGTACCATTTTGTTTTTAATTGCTTAGTCTTGCTATAAATTTCTCTATTTCATTTGGCTTTTCAAAGAATTACCTTTTGTTTCTGTCCATCTCTATTATAAGTTTTTAATTAATTCATCTCTATCCTTATTTTTATTATTACCTTTCTTCTTTATTTTTTGGGTTCACTCTTTTGTACTACTTCTTCTGTTGGGCTCTTAGCTAATCAGCTTTAAATTTTTCTAAACCAAACCAAACTCACTGCCATCAAGTCAATTCCAACTCATAGCAACCCCACCTCCTTGGGTTTCTGAGTCAGCATCTCTATGGAAGTAGATTGCCCAGTCTTCCGACCGAGGAGTGGCTGGTGGGTTTGAATCACCAGCCTTTTGGTTAGCAGTCAAATGCCGTAGGGACCACACCACCAGAGCTACTTACTCCCAAATATTTTCTGATGTCTACAATACAAGGGCATCAGAAAATATTTGGAAGTAAATAACAACAACATAATACAAGCGGGTATTTTATTTTTATATTAATTTTTAATATTTTTGGACTGTGCTTAGAGAATGAGGAGCTCATTGGTTATTTTAATAACCAATACTCAAGAGAAATTTTTTTAAAAAAGTCTTACCAGAATGATTCCATTAAATTTGAACTGGCACCACTGAGGTTGGAGAAAGTAAACCACTTCTCAGAGACAGCTGTACTCCAGGGAATGGTGCAGCCAAGCTCCTGCTGGGCCCACTCTGGAACAGGAGCTACAGGGGACAAAGGATCAGAGGCAGGAGAGGAAAAGAGGCATTGGAACCAAATCAGAAAATTCCAAGCACCTGCTCCTCCCCTGCACTGACTGCATTCCTCCAAAGGACACACAAAGAGGCATTTATCTTTAACACTTTATCTGCCCATGAACTCCAAAGCCCATGTTGTCTATGAAAAATACTATTCCAGAAATGTACAAACACAATTTAAAGTCTTTCTTCTCGTTACTGGCAAAACATCCCCTCATCTTACTCCTGAAATGTTCTCTAAATAGGTGCTAAAACTGGGTTGTTTTTCTATTCTTAAAAATGTATCCCTTAAAAGTAGCTTTAGTACAAGAATAAATAATACTCAACTGACCAGACAGACTTAAAAGAATTATGACAGATTATGAACTGAGTAACAAACTGGATAACCTAAATGTAATGGACAAATTCTTAGAAGCACAGAACGTACCCAAACTGCTCAAGAAGAAATCAAGTCTCAACAGACCCATAACAACTAACGAGGTTGAATCGATGATCAAAAATCTACAAAAAAAAGTCCTGGACCAGAAGGCTTCACTGGGGAATTCTCCCAATTACAGAATTGACACCAATACTGTTTAAACCGTTTCAAAAGATAGAGAAGGAAGGAATACTCCTCAATTCATTCTATGAGGCAAACATAACCCTGGTATCAAAACCAGACAAAGATATCACAAGAAAAGAAAACTATAGGCCATTTTCTCTTATGAATATGGATGCAAAAATACCCAACAAAACACTAGCAAACAGACTCCAACAGCACATTTTTAAGAGTCATACAGCATGACCAAGTGGGATTTATCCCAGAAATTCAGGGATGGTTCAACATTTGAAAATCAAGCAATGTAATATACCACATCAATAGAACAAAGTCAAAGAATCACAATCATCTCTATGAATGCAGAAAAACTATTCAATTAAATCCAACACCCTTTCTTGATGAAAGAAAGGAGACTGGAATAGAAGGGAAATTATTCAATATGATTGAAAGCATGTATGAAAAGCCAACAGCTAACATTATACTTAATTGAGAAAGACTGAAAGCTTTTCCTTTGAAATTAGGAACAAGACAAGGGTACTCACTCTCACCACTTCTATTCAATATTGTATTACAAGTCCTAGCCTTAGCAAGAAGACAAGAAAAAGAAATAAAAGTATCCAGATTGGAAAAGAAAAAGTAAAATTATCTTTATTTGCAGATGATATGATCCTACGCAACCAATATAACCACTGCCGTGAAGTCAGATCCAACTCATAGCGATCCCTCCTTAATCCTGTATGTAGAAAATTCCAAAGAGTCCACAAGAAAACGTCGACACTAAAAGAGGAATTTAGCAAAGTTGAAGGGTAACAAGTTAAATAAAAATCAGTTGGGTTTCTATACACCAGTAATGAGAAATCTGAAAGGGAAATTATGGAAACATTTATAATAGCATTTAACAAAAAAAAAAACCTCACTGCTTTGAGTCAAATCCGACTCACAGCAACTTGGGTTTCCAAGGTGGTACCGAAGGGGCAGGGAAGCTGCATCTTCTGACCTCTTCTATTTTCCCACAAGAGGAAGATAGAATCACCATCAGTAGCCCAAGGCCTATTCCTGAGAGGCCAGACATGTCACCTCCCTCCAGCCCTGACACCAACCGTTCCTCCCACAGCACCCACCACCTCTCTGCTGGGTTTGCTAATTCGCTGTAGTGGCCACACAGAACTCACAGATTATGGGGTTTATTAGGGAAGCAACAGGCTACCATTCAAGTTCAGTAATATACTTAGTTGCTCTTAGCCCGCTATCTCTCAGCCAACAATCTCTCTCGGTCTCTCTTCCAGAAGTGCATGTCTCTCGGTGTCACCCTCTGTAATGCATGTCTCTCAGGAGTGCATTTCTCTCAGCAGCATGTCTTTCTCAGTCAGCAATCAGAGGAACTCCTTCTGCCTCTAGAAGGGCTCCTTTTTAAGCCTGGCAGAATGGCCAAACTAACCAATCCCAACATCAGAATTCTATACACTTGAGAGAGACCGAACTTCCCAGAAAATTACTTGGTGCTACATGCAACAGAAATACCCCAGATGGATAACTTTAACAATTAGGAGCTACTCAGTTGCTTATGACAAATTCCACCAGGAGTTTACAAAGGTTTATGGCTAGAAAAACCATACCAGATAATTGACTACACCGCAGACGGTATCTCTACGGAAGTAGATTGCCTAATCTTCCTTCCAAGGAGTGGCTGGTGGGTTTGAATTGCCAGCCTTCTGGTTAGCAGCCAAACACCTTAGGCACTATGCCACCAAACCCAAAAAAAAAAAAAAAACTCATTGCCATCAAGTCGATTTTGACTCATAGCGACCCTTCCTTGGGTTTCCAAGGCAGTATCACTACGGAAGTAAATTGCTCCATCTTCCTTCTGAGGAGTATGGCTGATGGGTTTGAACCACCAGCCTTCTGGTTAGCAGTCAAATGCCTTAGGCACTACACTACCAGAGCTCCTTATAGACAATAAGTCAATCACAAAAGGACAAATATGATATGACCTTACTCACATAAAATATAAGAAAGGGCAAATGTATAGAGAATTAAGTTTATTAGTGGTTACCAGGGGCAGGAGGGAGGAGAAACAATAGATGGAAATATTGTGTTGAATAATGGTAAGGCTGCACAACCAATTACTGTAATTACTGTCAATAAGTTGTACACTTATAAAAGTTGAATTGGTTATAGTTGTGTGATAGATATATTTACAAAAATGATGTAAAAAGAAAAAGAGAGTAGGTGCTGAGACTCCTTATGTATGACCAAAAACCTTAGGGTCATGGTTTCAAGGGACATCCAGTTAATTGTCCTAATATTGTGTTTAGTGCTTTTGTTCTCCCTTCTATTTCTTTGGATAGTGCCTGGGGCATAAAAGCTGCAACCAGTCATCCAACACACAATCAATCTCTATTTGCCTGCAGCAACAGGGGAAGGAAAGTCAGCAAGAAGAGGAGGATATGAAATGTGTGGCTAACAACTGCCTCATTTGACATGACCAGAAGAACGAGATGGTGACCACCTACCATTACTCAACATTTTGATCAAAGATTCTATAGAAGAGTCCTGATCAAAAGGGGGTAAATGCAGAAAAGAATTTCAAATTCTCATGGACTCTGGACTTCCTGGACCCATGAAACTTAGATGAACTCCTGAAACTACTGTACTGAGATAATCTTTAAACCTTAAACCAAAAATATTCCCTAAAGTCTTTTTAAAACTTACAATAGTATAGCTTAACTAGTTAAAAACGTCTGCCTTGAGCATTATGCTCTTTTAAGAACTATCTATAGCATAGTGCATTAGGCACTTGACTGCTAACCAGAGGCTGGCAGTTCAAACCCACTAGCCACTCCTTGGAAGGAAGGTCAGGCAATCTACTTCCATAGTGATACCACCTCCGAAACCCAAGGAGGGGTCACTATGAGTCGGGGCCAACTGGATGGCACATGACAATACCAACCATAATATGGGATTAAACTGGCAAAAACAACTCAAAAGATTCGGTAAGAATCTTAGGGACAGGTCAAAGATGTAATCAATGTCACTAAATGGTACATGCAGAACTAATGAAATGGTGTATGTTTTACTGACTAGCTTATATTCTACACTAATTCTGTCTCATTAACATAACAAAGACAAGCCATTCACAAACAGGAATATAACCACAGGCATAGAAGTTAGGATTTACAACACATTTTGTGGGGGGAGATGAGGGATGACCATATTCAATCTATAACACTACTTAACAGTGGGATGTTCAATTTAGTCCTCAGTCCTCTTCTCTATCTATGTGTGCTCCCAGGTTATCTTAGCCCATCTCATGGCTTTGAATATATCATCTACACACTAACGACTCCCATCATTTCCAGTCCAGACTGATCCCCTAAACTCCAAACAAACACATATATCTATCTACTTAATACCATAGTTGAATGTCTAATAGACATCTCAAACTTAGCACATCCAAAACAAAACCCCCCAATCCTCACAATTCTTAGCCCCCACTTCTACAGTCTATTCCATCTTAGAAGATAACTGTATTCTACCAATTGCTCAGACTAAAAAGTCTGGAGTCATTTTCAACTTCACTATATTTCATATCACACATTCTATCTAAGAGCAAATCCCGTGGCTTTACCTTCAAAATATATCCAGAAATCCAACTGTTTCTAATCACCTGCACTGTTACCACCCTGGTCTGGGTTACCACCACCTCTTGCCTGGATTACTGCAATATTTCTAACTGGTCACCCTGTTTCTAACCTTGCCTCACTATAGTCAATTCTCAAAACAGCAGCCAGAGTAATACCAAAATGTACGTTGGGTAGTGTCACTCTGAAAAAATTCTCCAAAGACTTCTTTTCTCACTCACAGTAGAAGCCAGTCTTTTCAATGGCTGATAAAGTCATTCATAATTTGGTCTTTTACTTTCCCTCTGACATGTTATTAGAAGGGAATAGTCCCTGGAGAAGGATAGCATGCTTGGTAAAGTTAGAGGGTAAGTGAAAAAGAGGAAGATTCTCAAGATGAACTGACACACCGCTGCAACAATGAGCTCAAATATAGCAACAATTTCTAGGGATGATAGAGAGTTGGACAGCATTTCTTCCTGTTGTGCTGTAAGTCAGAACCAACTCAACAGCACCTAATAACAACTGACCTTATCTTCCACTACTCTCCCCTTTATTCCTTTCTCTTCAGCCACACAAGCCTCCCTGCTATTCCTCAAATACACCAGACACATATCCATTCTGCTCAAAGCTTTTACACTTGCTGTTGCTTCTACCAAGGCTGTTTAAGCTTTCACTCAACTATCACTTCTTTGCTTCAACTCATACTACCTTGACTACCTGTTTAAAATTGCAATGCTCCCTCTTACCGGAACTCTGTACTCCTTTTATCCGACTTACTTATTTCCATAGTATGTATCTCTTTCAAATAAATTATATAATTCTCTTATTTACTTTATTGTCTTGTTTCTCCTGACTAGATGATAAGCTCCACAAGAAGAGATCTTTGTCTCATTTGTTTTCTGATGTATTGCCAGTATTTAACTGAACCTGACATATACCAGGCACTCAACAAATCTGTTGAATAAATGAATTAATAAAATATAAGATGAATTAATAAAATTGATTATATTTAAATCTACCTAGCATAAATGAGGTCTGTATTATGTTAGTAACAGTGCAATGAATTACAAGGTAGATAGAATCACTAGTTTTACCTACCAAACAAAAAACCAAATCCACTGCCACCAAGTTGATTCCAACTCATAACAACCCTATAGGACAGAGTAGAATTGACTCATAGGGTTTCCAAGGCTGTCATCTTTATGGAAGCAGACTGCTACATCTTACTTCTGCAGAGTGGCTGGTGGGTTCAAACCACCTTTGGTTAGTAGCCCAGTGCTTATCCACTATACCACCAGGGCTTCTTGGTTTTACATAGTCTTTACTAGATACATTAAAAACCAGGTTTCACCTTCTCTCTCTGATTTCAAACTGGTTTCAGAGCCTTAGACCTCCTCAAGAGTGTTTCAAGATTTCTATAAATAATGATTTAAACTTCCTGAAGTGTTATAGTTTGTTTTCATCTGTTTTATAAAGTAAGGAGCTCTGGTGGTGTAGTGGACAGAATATTTGGCTGCTAACCAAAAAGTCTCCAGTTCAAACCCACCAGCTGCTCTGTGGAAGAAAGAGGGGGCAATCTACTTCTGTTAGGATTCACAACCTCAGAAACCCAATAAGGGTTGCTATGAGTTAGAATTGACTTGATGGCAGTGAGTTTTTTTTTTTGTTGTTGTTGGGGGTAGGCAAATTCTAGTAAGTAGTATATGGTAGAAAAAAAAGTTCTGATGGCTGGAGAAGACTGTAAACCATCACCCTCAATGATGTTAGCTATTAGTCCACAAGCTTACCAGGAGGAGCAGGATCTTCAAGTGAATTATGAATCCACTTCAATACATCATTTGTGATATCGGAGAAAAGAGAAAGTGTATCCTGGGGGCTCTCTGGCACAACCTTTTGGAGAAAATGTCTTTGAAATTCAACATCCTTGGTACGGAACACAGTGAGAATTGCAGCATTGGTGGAGAAGGGAGAAATAACTCCAGTGAGAGGGGGCCAGCCTTCACCAGGATCCACACTGGCAACCTATATAAAAAATTGTAATTAGTTGAGCATATTGTTGTCAATATGCCTAACACAGAATGTAGCTTAGTAAAAGACTGAATTTTCCCAATGATTATAGTATTTTTGAAAAAACTAGAAAAGAGAAGCTTGATGGTTATTAGGGATAGAAGAGTAGTTACTTGTCACATAGCCCTAATTCCTCAATTTACAAATGAAGGCCTAAAGTTACTGAATATTTAACTAAGCATTTATTATGTGCTTGTTATAACTCATTGAATCATCACAACTACTCTGAGGTAAAAATAATTAACCCCATTTTATAGAGGAGGAATTGAGGTTAAGAGATGACCCAGAAAGTAATAAGGGGCAGGGCCATGGTACCTGACTTCAAAGTCCAAGCTCTCTCTTAACAAGAAAGCAGTACCACCACTAAGTGATTCACCCAAGATGACACAGTAGGCAGCAGAACTAAGACCCTCATCCAGATCTCCTGACTTCCCAACCTAGTGCTCCTTCTATCACAGCATACAACTCCTAGAACATCTTTTTGGATAATCACCCAATTTTCCTGTAGTGCTTCACAGGGGCATCCAGGGTATAGATTCCAACTGAGGTTACAAAGGCAACAGACAAACCAAGGTAAGGAAGTCACTGGTAGTTTGAAAAGAACGATCATCTTTAACCACATCTGTGTATGTATACGTTTCTTTCCAGAAGACAATTCTAAGTTTATGAACTACTGGGTAATATGATATCTAATTTTACAATGCTGTGGCTTTTTCTTAAATGAAATATATTATAAAAGTAGTAAATACATAACAGAACATTTAAAAAATAATGAGAAATCACCCATGACTTTGGCATTCTAATACAACCATTCTATATGGCCCACTGCCTTTTTCCTAAGTGAGAGTAATTTAATGTAACTATATTCAGAGTACATGCAATTTTATGAATGGTTTCTTCACTACTAAGCATTTTGTCACAATGCTACAATGTAGATAACATTATTTTGAATTGTGTCTTCAAAAATATGTGTTGCATTCCTAACCCCTATACCTGTGATCTTGTATGGAAACAGGGCTTTACTTTTGTTATTAATAAGGTTGTACCAGCATAGGGCAGATCCTAAATCTAATTACTTCCGAGCTATAAAATGATCAGAATAAATACAGAGACACAAAAAGGGGAAGACAGATGACATGTGAGTCATCTACAAGTAAAGGAATGCCAAGCATGACCAGTAAATGCTGGAAACCAGGAGAGGTTTACAGAAGGAATTAACACAGCCAAGACCATGTGAAAAAATAAATTTCTGTTCTTTAAAGCCAACCACTTGTGATACCGTTACAGCAACACTAGGAAATTAAGACAAAGGTCTTCCTTGGCATTTTGCAAACCTACTTATTTCACTTTACCAGCGTTACTAGACAAAAATAACTTACCATGTGGAGGATACCTACCAGATGTAAGTCTTCAGCAGTCAGCATACTTGACAGCTGGTGAAATAACAACCTTTGACTTGATCTGTCATCTTCAGGACTCTGTAACATCCAGATATCAGTGCCCAAAGTGCTGCTCGTTGGGAGAGCCCAATGGATGACTGGGCCTTTTAGAACAATTCTGACCGGTTTCTTAAAATGGCTCTGATACATGGTCAAGGGCTCTAGGGTAACTATGCATGTTTCTTGAATCTCTTTGCCTGATAGAGATAAAATTATTAAAATTCTAATATAAGAAATTTGCTGAAATCTGTTCAGCATCATAGCAGCATACAAGCTGCTACTGACAGATGGTTAGTAGCTGTGCATGAGTACACTGGCCAGGAATGGAACCTGAGTCCTCCCACATGGAAGGTGAGAAGTCTACCACTGAACTATCAAGGCCTCATAATATAAGAAACAGTTCAAAAACAGATTTAACAGCAAGAAGAAAAAAATCAATTTATCAGTTGAGATACTCATATTATCATTTAGTTCATACATTAGACCTCATTTTATTGTCAAAAGACTATTACAGCAGGTTCATATGATTCTATAGGAAATGCTATATACAAAAGGAATTACAAAGGCACAACTTGATGGTGTTGTTGTTGTTGTTGCTATGTGCCATCGAGTTGGATCTGACTCATAGCGACCCCTCCTTGTGTTTCCGAGGCAGTATCACTACGGAAGTAGATTGCCCCATCTTCCTTCCAAAGAGTGGCTGGTGGGTTTGAACCGCCAGCCTTCTGGTTAGCAGCCAAGTGCCTTAGGCACTATGCTACCAGAGCTCCTCAACTTGATGACAGAACCAATAATTATCTGACTTGGAAATACTATCCAAGCAATAATACAGTGCATCTTACAAGAAGGTTAAGTTCTAAGGACAAATGTATATGGTAAATATTGCTTAAACAAAATTGCTCTCGAAAATTCCTTAAACTACTCATTGGGCTTCGGGACTCAGGACCACAGTCTTGGGGGACAACTAGCTCCACTGGCATAACACAGCCCACAAAGACAATGTTCTATATTGTATATCAGTGACTAGTGGGTAGGGTCTTAAAAGCTTGCGAGTGGCCAGCTCAGATGCAACTATTGGTCTTTCCTCATCCAGAGCAAAGAAAGTGAAGAAAATCAAAGATTCAAGTAAACAATTATTCCAAAGGACCAATGGACCACATGAACCCCAGCCTCCATGACCCTGAGACCAGACTTAGATGGTACCTGGCTATCACTTACTGCTCTGATCAGGATCACAATAGAAAATCCTGGACACAGAAAGAGAGAGAGAGAGAAAGAGAGAGAGAGAGAGAGAGAGAGAGAGAGAAATGTAGAACAAAATTAAAAAAATAAAAAAGACCAGACTTACAGGTCTTAGAGACTAGTGGAATGCCTGAGACTGTGGCTCTTAGACACCCTTTAAGCCTGGAACTGAAGCCATCCCCAGGGATCAACTTTCAGCCAAACAATAGACAGACCTATACAGTGAATAATAACAGGAATGTATGCTTCAATACAATCAACCATATGAGTCCTAAAGGGGAGTATTTGCCCAAAAACAAAATTTAGAAGGCAAGAGAGGCAGGAAAGGACAAATGGAAATGGGGAATCCGGGGAGGAAAGAGCAAGAGTGTTGATACACTGAAGAGACTACAACCAATGTCACGAAACAAAATGTGTACAAAATGTTGAATAGAAAACTAATGTGCTCTGTAAACTTTCAACCAAACTAAAATTAAAAAAAAAATTCCCTAAACAGTATATGACATAGTTTTACATACATCTCTATATGATATTAGTTCTACATGAATACATAATATATTCAGAAATGGGATTCATCATATAGCAAAACATATGGCAAAACAAATTTGTGAAGATTCTAATGTGTTGACTCTTCCAGGTAACTTATATCATTCTTTTCTTGTGGTATCTCTGATTTTGCTTAGATATCTTTTAATTCTTCTAATTATGTGCATTAATGGAGTGGGTAGGCTGCTGAGAATCCTAAAGAAGTTAAAAGCATGGACTTGCCTTGAAGAAATTAATGTACCTAAAAACAAACCCCAAGATATTACTTGCTTACCTTTAGCAGGGAGAAATAACATTCCTTCTATCCGTGGAAATGATACTTCATATTCATGAGAATTGTAGAGCAAACAGTTTAAAGTGGAATCAGCTGGTAAAGCTGAAATCCATGGAGAGAGGTTAGTGTCACTTGATAGCTTTCTTTCACCATGGAGTAGTGTTTGCCCACCTTTAGGAAATTCCTGGCTGAAAGTTTCAGATGGCAAGATAGTACCGCCAACATGGTGGAGAAGTTCACATACTGTCTGGAACCCAAGGTGGTCTGGGGATTCCCATAACTAAAATTAAAATTATGAAGAACCGTAGGTTATTGAAAATTAGGTAATTCATAAATAAAGGTAAATCAGGAGAAAGTACAGTTAATACCCATAATAAAAAATCAAATTATACAATTAAGGTATTTGTTGAATTACACACAAATAATTGGCCAGCATCAATGACTGCACATCCCAATAATATAATTACTACATAATATGCCTCCAAGAAAGCATCCTTTTAGTGAAAACAGCACTTCATTTATATTCTCTGTCAAGGAACAGAAATGATGCAAATCATTGAGTATAAATCATAAAATGTTAGAGTCACAGGAATGTTATCATACAAAACCATTGTTGTTGTTGTTGTTGTTATGTGCTGTAGAGTCGGACCCAACTCATAGCGACCCCTCCTTGGGTTTCCAAGGCAGTATCACTATGGAAGTAGATTGCCCCATCTTCCTTCCGAGGAGTGGCTGTGGGTTTGAACCGCCAGCCTTCTGGTTAGCAGTCAAGTGCCTTAGGCACTATGCCACCAGAGCTCCTACAAAACCATTATACATTAATAAAAATAATTACCTTATACAATATAACACATTAATGGCCAGGTATCATGGAAGGTAAGAGCACCTCCCCTAGATGGTGATCTTAATTTGACTTGCCCACCTCACATGTTTCTAAGGGGACCAAATTGGGCTTCTCCCTTCTATCTTCATGGTTTAATTAAAATCCCCCTCATATTTTGCCTGAACTCTTGCAGAAGTCTATAAATGCTGTGCCCTACCTCCTATCTTTCCTCTACATTGCTCTGAATTCCAAATCACCTATCTGATTGAATGGATTGAAGTGTGTCCTCACAAAATATTTGTCAATTTGGCTGGGCAAGTTCTCAGTGGTTTGACAGTTATGTAATGATATAATCACCCCCACCTTGATATGGTCCCCTGTGATCAGCCAATCAGTTGTAAAGGGTTAGGGTGGGATACAAATCCTTACTTACATCACAGCCCTGATCTAATGTAAGGGGAGTTCTCCTCAGGTGTGGCCTGCATCACCTTTTATCTTACAAGAGATAAAAGGAGTGAGAATTGAGCAGAGACCTGACTACCATCAAGAAAGAAGAGGCAGGAGTACAGTGTGTCATTTGGACCTCGGGTCCCTGTCTTGAGCATTTCCTAGCCCCAGGGGAAGACTGATGCCAAGACATATGAAAATCTCCAAGGAACACCAGCCCCACAGATATGGAAAGGAAACAAGGACCTTCTTCCAGAGCCAACAAGACAGAAAGCTTTCCCCTTGAGCCAGAGCTCTGAATTTGGACTTCCAGCCTCCTAAACTATGAGAAAAGAAATTTCTGTTTGTTAAGGCCATCCACTTGTGGTATTTATATTATAGCAGCACTAGATAAGTAAGACACTGATCATGCTACTTCTCTATTTAAAACCTTTCAAAGGCTTCCCATTATGTTCAGTATAAAGTGACCTTTAAAAAGAAAAAAACCAAACTCACTGCCATCAAGTCGATTCCAACTCATAGTGACCCTACCAGACAAGAGCAAAAATGCTCCACTGGATTTCCAAGGCTGTAAATCTTTACAGAAGCAGACTGTTTCATTTTTCTCCTGCAGAGTGGCTTATGGGTTCAAACCGCTAACCTTTTGGTTAGCAGCTAAAGGTTAGCAGCTCAATGCTTTAACCACTATGCCACCAGAGCTCTTTTTAATTAATATTATAGAGTAAATGACATGTCATCGTAGTATTTTCAAATTTGGAGATTTTATTTGGTAATAACATATCTGACAAGGGACTTATCTCTAGAATTTATAGAACACTCCAACACCTCAATAACAAAAAGACAAACAATCCAATTAAAAAATGGGCAGAAGACATGAATAGACACTTCACCAA